CTACCTTCATTAACCTAATTTTGCATAGACTTTGTATAGTAAGGCAGGGTCAAAAGGGAGTGACAAATAGATGTTGGCAAATGCCCACAGTGTGGCCTTAATGTCTAATAGCAAAACAATGACAACCTGTTCAACCTTGCATGGGAGTGATTTATTGAGAAGAATGGCAACCCCTCCCACATAGGTTGAATACCTGACATGCAAAGCTTGACACACTCAAGATCTATGGAGGGCCATTATTTTATTGCCCATCAGGTGAGTTTCTTGAAGGAACAATATGTGTGGTTTGTGGGAATTGAGAAATTTCAACATAAGGGAACTTTTAAATTTATCATTGAGACCCCGTTTATTCCAAGAGAGCACTTTAATGTCCATATTGAGGTAAACTATAAGAATTCATGAGAGCTAAAATGGAGGCCAACACTAAAAACAGGTTAGGTACCCTGCCAGAGAGGGTGCCAAGAGGGGAGTAGCCCTGACAAAGAGAATACCCACGAAAACCATATAATGTGTAAAACAGAGAAGACTGAGCAGAGCTAAACAAAAAAACTATTGCACAACACCCTATCAATTAGCAAAAACCCCAACATAACTCTACTGATGTGGTTTAATTCCCTAAACAAAGGCTAAAAACTCTACTAATCAACTAGAGAAAAAGTCCATACATAGAGTCCAGAAAGTCCAATGCTGGACTTCTGTTGGTAGCAGACTGAAGAGGGTGAAACGTGGAACGTAAATTCAACTGAAAACCCTCCCAAGAGGGGGTAGCTCCCCAGCTGCAAGACATAGGTGTCCCCTTCCCTCCAGAGGACCAAAAAAAGCAAGGAGTGGAGGGCAGAGAGGGATCAGGCAGTAGCCTAACCCCAGTAGCCAGGGTAAGTGGGACCGCAAAAAAAAATAAAAAAAAAAACCCCAGAGAGGAAGGCAGGAGAGTGAATGTGCCATAATTGTAGGAGACCACCGCGATGAAAGGAACAGGCTTCTTCAGGGAAATTGAAAAACTTGACGAGGCCCTCATGTTGAACTTGCAGGTGGCTTGTATAGAGCATACTATAGACCATCCTCTTCTCACTGAGCATCTTACAGACCGCTGCAAAGGTTTTCCGCTTCCGCTGCAGCTCTATGGAGAAGTCCAGGAAGAAACGCACAGTGGTATTACCATAGGGCAATGTGGGATGCTTCCGATCCTCACTGAGAATCATATCCCAGTCACAGTAGTTCAAGAACTGGACCAGGAATGGGCAAGGTGGTGCACCAGGAGGTCTGCGGCCAGTTGATACTCTGTCAACTGATTTAATTGGATACATGTAAGTGTTATTTAGTCCTAGAGGGAATTTTTCAATGTTCATAATACACATAACCGATTGTTCTTGCTGTGTGGTTTTTATATAATCGCGCGGCAGAGCCATTTCCACCACATAGGTTGGAGAGACTTCAGAGAGATTCAGCAGCTCCTTAAAGAAAGTTTCCCCAAACTCAGGAGGACAATCTCCTTCAGCCCCCTCTAGGAAGCCCAGGACCCACACATTGTTCCGCCACAGACGGTTCTCCCCATCATCAGACTTCACCACCAACATTTGAACTGTTGAGTGTTTGCAGCAGGTCTGAGTGATGTGCTGTGGCATCTTCAGTATTGAAGATCCAGATTTCAGTTTCATATCTTATCTAAATAATTGCGAATGAGGTTACATTCTACAGCCAGCCTATCAATGCGGACCAATAGAGAGGTCTTGCTCTGCTCAATGGCACTTAGAATAATTTTGGCGTCTGCACCTGGGGCCTGAGCAGAAGAAGGTACCAGCTGGTCCAAGGATTCTGCATCTCCACCTCTGCTAGCAAGCCCTGCAGTTTCCCCACAAAGATGGTGTCCGCACATGATGCTGGAGGGGCAGGTGGCTTCTTGTTGGATGGCAGGGCAGATGCATGACTCTTAGATGGCATGCTGGCAGCACAGAGAGGACATCGCCTCTGTCAGGAGGAGTCTGCAGGAGCTAACAGTGCTGGAAGTAGCCAGAAAGTGGTTAGGATATGGCAGGGTGAGGAGAGCTCCACGAGAAGACATCCGCCTCACACTACATCCCAGCCATGCCACCCTCTACTGTATATTTTTCACAAGCAATACATACATCCTGCTCTATAAAAAATAATCAAATCCCATTAACAATCAGCGTGAAATTATTGACTGCCACACTCACTGATACCTACAAATACCAAAAGGATAAAGAAATAATGTTGCTGTCAAACTAAATCAATTAGTGAAGTAAATAATCTCATGGTTCAATAAATTAATCAATAAAACCAATTTATAAAGTCCATCATGAGTGAGAAAAAAATGTTCATATATCCAGTGTGCACCAGCCACCATGTGATTATAAAGCCACTTAACAGAAATTTAGACCCTACATCATAAGAGGTCTAAATCAGCATTTATTGTACTATAGATGAGATATCCCACATGGATGGATGATGGACGCCTTCAGCTCACTTTTGCTCACAGCCAACTATGCCTCTAGCCTCTTTCGAATAAATATGGCATGCCCCAGAATGGTCACTGGATCACTTCTCGCATAATGGTCTCACCACCACAAATACACACCAAGGAATGAACAAGGCTATCCTATAGTGTAGTACTGTATAACATGTATTAGTAAAACCAGAAAAAAATGCTCACAAACAAAGCAGTTTAAAGAGCATGACACACAGCACCTCCGGGGTTCCTGACGGATGTGATGACATCACCACTAAACTCTGTCCATCCATCCATGTGGGATCTCTTATCATCTAAATGCTGATTTAGACCTCTTATGATTTATAATCACATGATGGCTGGTGCATAATGAATATATGAAGACTATTTCTCACTCTGCCTTCACTTTTCTATATTTCTCTGGGGTGAAACTCTGCTCCTTCCTATCTCTCGGGGTACCATCTTGCCTCAGGGGCAGGCTACATTTCATTAACATTTGAGTTGATTTATCCTTATTACCACTATTGGTGTTACTATTATATACACTTTTGTTAATTTCATACAGCCTGGGTTCTTCCTAGTTAAGTACCCTTGTAGTACACCTTTTGGGGTTTCCAAGTGCAATAGTATTAGTACAACTATGATAAAACAAGTCTATTTGTATGCGCATGCTGGTATATCCTGGATGAGTTTTATTGATTATATGTTTTTAGGGGTTAGGAAGTTATGTTTTCTCATATTGTTGTATTTAATAAAGATATACCTTTTACATGAGCAGTGAAACTGATTTCTTCCATGAGGGGATTATAGTGGTTTCATAGATGGATTGAAACGTGAATACTTTCTGTTCTGAAAAGTCTTTACTGTCCTACATACTTATTTGGTTGGAGGGCTTTTTGATTGTTTTAGGGTGAATTCACACTGACGCAATTGTGAATTAGCCCTTAGTACCTTAACACTATAACCTGCATGCAGGGCTTTTTTCAGTGGCACTGAATGTCTGTAATGGCAAGTGGTGCTGGGATGTGCTGGAAGATCTATTGTCACTGGAGGGGGTTATTGTTGTGGGAGGGGGTCTATTGTTGCTGGGAGATCTAATGTTGTTGGTGGGAGGCATCTACTGTTGAGAGAGGGGTCTATTGTTTCTGGCTGCTGTAGGGTCTATTAATGCTGGCTACTGGGAGATCTATTGATGCTGGTAGAGGTCTATTATTGCAGGTGTGGATCTGTTGTTGTTGGGGGGGTATTTTGATGCAGGGGAGCATATATTTGCTGGTTACTTAGCACCATAAAATTATACTTGATTCTGTATTCTCTAAAAGGGGCGGTACTGGGACGTGAGTAAGAGGTGAAACCAAGGGATGGTGCTCAGAGGTGGGTAGGGGGTGGAGATAAGGTGTGACTTGGAAACTGGGATGTATTGCACCTATTGCCCTGCCTGTATGGCTATACTGTTAGGTTGGGTCTCAAGCCCTACTCCATAGAAGCTATGGCTTTCATACATTGCTTTCTTAAAGAGGAACCTTACTCATAACAATTGATAAAAACATCATGTTCTTTAGCAAGAAACATACATTCCATATTAATAATTATGCTACCAAAATTAGTGGGCGCTGTAAATTGCCTCCAGCATTGCTCCTGGTTCTTACTTGAGGCTGCCATTCTGTTGAAGCCCAAAGCCCTGAGCAGCAGTTAAAGCAGACCTAACCCTTCTATCCATTACAGCCAGGGAAGCTGACATCTGTTTGATCTGCAACTGCCATGGTGCTGCACATATGATCAGTTATGACACCAGCCAATTGATGGTTTGACAGTTTGGTTGAGAACACAAGCAAATGTCACAGTTAGCATTCTTGGCATGCCGGGAATGTAAATTTTTTTTAAATTGTTAAATCGATAGGTTTAGTTCAGTTTAGTCTTGACACAGTCAGCAGATCAGCCTCTACAAATTCAGCACAGTGTCTAAAATTCTCTAAAAACAGAGTGCAACGGACCATGTCCAGAACAGGGTGAGACAGTGTTTTACTGAATTTGAACCCTTCACGCTGACAGTAGAAACAAGTTAACCACCTCCCGCCCGCCATATAGTACAATGACGGGCGCAAGGTGGTTCTCTCGTTCTGGGAGGACGTCATATGACGTCCTCCCATTCTAACCGCGCATGCTCGGCTTTGGGAGCACGCAGCGCGGCGATCGGTGGTGCGCTGTGTCCCTCGGACACAGCGGATCACCGATCAACGGAAAGAGCCAAAGATGTCAGCTCGGTCATGTGATCAGCTGTGTCCAATCATAGCTGATCACATGTAAATAGGGAAATGCCGGTTATCGGCATTTCTCTCCTCAAGAGCTGTCACGTTGATAGCTCGAGAGGAGAGGAGAGCCGGTAATCGGCATTCCCTAGAGGGGACATGTACACTGATCATCAGGGCACTGATGATCAGTGTGCCTTGATGATCAGTGTAGCCCCAGCAGTGCCAGCTGTCAGTGTCCATCAGTACCAGCTGTCAGTGCTCATTTATGCCACCTGCCAGTGCCCATCAGTGCAACATATCAGTGCCCATCTGAGCTGCCTTTCAGTGTCACCTATCAGTGCCAGTCAGTGCCACCTATCAGTGCTGCCCGTCAGTGCCACCTATCAGTGACCTATATGAGTGCTGCCTTTCAGTGCCCATCAGTGATGCCTGTCAATGCCCATCACTGCCACCTACCAGTGCCTCCTCAGCAGTGCCCATCAGTGCCACCTATCAGTGTTCATCAGTGCAGCTTATCAGTGCCCATCACTGCAGCCTCATTAGCGCACATCAGTGAAGGAGAAAAATCACTTATTTACAAAATTTTATAACAAAAACTAAGAAAAATTTTTTTTTTCAAAATTTTCAGTGGTTTTTGGTTTGTTTAAGAAAAAATAAAAAAAAACCCAGAGGTGATTAAATACCACCAAAAGAAAGCTCTATCTGTCACAAAAAAAATATAAAAATTTCATATGGTTACAGTGCATGACCACGCAATAGTCATTCAAAGTGTGACAGCACTGGCAATTGGCCTGGGCAGGAAGGGGGTATAAGTGCCCTGTAGGAAAGTGGTTAAATCTCATGTTTACAATGACCTATGACAAGAAAGAGGTCACTTTTTTAGATGTGACAATCCAAGTAGATGAGAACAGAAGTCTGACCAGCTGGTTATATCGCAAAGCTACTGCTGGCAGTACTATTCTGCATGCTTCCAGTTTCCATCCTCAACCTCTGATTTCTTCCATTCCATATTCCCAATATTTGAGATTAAAAAGAAAAATTGCTTGCATGAATATTCCTTTAGGCAGGAAGCGAATGCCCTTAAGACTAGACTCCTAGAGAGAGGATACACTAAATCATGCCTAAAAAAAGCCTTCAAACGAGCAAACAAGAATATCAGAGATGAGTTACTCTATAATGACACAAGAAAGAAAGATTCCAATACTTACCCTAGGATCATCATTAAAAAATATTGGCACATGCTTACCATAGATTCACTGGTTGGCAAATTTGTATCCCCATCCCCCCAAATTACCTTTAGAAGGGCCATGTCCATAAAGAATAGAGTCATGAAAAGTGAATTTAGGGGTGACTCACGGAGAGACCCATGTACAGCAAAAGGCGCCTTTGTATGCGGTGGTTGCAATTATTGCAAGTACATGCACACTGAACTTCAACCTAGGTTACCAAATGGAGATTTATTTAGACCAGGACATTTTGCAAATTGTAAAACTTTTGGGGTTGTGTATTTACTCCTTTGTGAATGCGGCTGTTTTTATATTCGCAAGACCAAATTAGAATTTTGGAGACGAGCATATAGATATATTAACAGTTTAAAGAAATGTGATCTCGAATTTCATCTGGGACGACATATTATTTTGGTGCATGGTGGCAAATTTCCAAAGATAAAATTTTTGGTCTTATACACCCCAACCCAAGGGGAGACTGGAATAAGTCTCTGTTACAGTTGGAACTTGGATGGATTTTTACACTTAATGCCTCCCCCCACCCCCAGATTAAATTAAGCTATCAATTTTAAACCATTTTTAGAGGGCTTCTCTTCTGGTGGAATGGAAAAATAATGGCCACTTTTTCGGGACTTACATCTTTGCTACCCTAGGTATATCCTTTGGTCCTGCCCATACATGTTAACACCGTACAAGATTTGTGGTATTTTTTGTTGTTTTGTGTTCTTTCTTTGCCAGGATGGGGGTCTAAAATATCCCTATCCCTTATCCTTTTACTACGTTTCTCTGCATAATTGTTATATGCTAATGTTTTTGTAAAGCACACCTGTATTATTCACAGGCTATTTTGTGAGTGGATGGTTCGTTCATTGCTCCTCACATCTTGGGGAATTGAACCTGCAATGGGATTCTGCCTTCTCCTCCATGGCGGCACCCGGCCTGCTCCACGGGGAGAGTTGGTCTCCCTGGTGGAGTAAGGCCTTTCTTGTTGGCTGCTAGATGGGGAGTGGCATCCTTTCTGGGTGCCACCCTCCTCTTTGGGTGGCCTCTACGCATGTCAGCGGGATGTTATCATGTGGCGGCATGGTGAAACCACGCACCAACATACCGGGGCGGAGCAATTTGCTGGTAACGGCATCACACCCTGAGGAGGTTGTTTGGCGCCATTAGTCATGTGGCGCACTTACATATGGATGCAATCTCTGGGAGACTTTCTTATTGGACATGCCACTTTTCATTTTATATATATAACATTTCTATTTAGCCTAGGATGTCCATTGGAAAGAAATCTCTTGCCCGTTGGGACTGAGGTCTCTCTTGCTCCCTCCTTCTGATTTAATTGGATACATGTGTTATTTAGTCCTAGAGGGAATTTTTCAATGTTCATAATACACATAACGGGTTGTTCTTGCTGTGTGTTTTTTTTTATAATTGTGTGGCAGAGCCAATTATTTACTTTTTGTATATTTTTTTTATTATAGAACCTGGGATTGTGCACTTATTCATTTTTATATCTTTTGGAGGACTAACAGTGGGAGATCCTTAAGCTGCCCTTCCAAACAGATATTCAATATTCCCAATGGGCTTATAAGACTATTGACCATTTTGTGAGTACCCCTTTTGACACGTTTGAGGCTCTCCCCATTAATATCTGATTGCAAGTAGAATGTTATTAATTCTTTTCTTCTATACTTGTATATAGGCAGCCCCAGTGTCCAGCCGGGGGGGGGGGGGGGGGGGGGGGGGGGCTGGGTGTGTAGTTTTCCTGAGAAGCATAGTTTTATTTACTGGTGCTATTAAAGTTCCATTCTATTAAGGGGTCTCTCCATATATTGCAATCTAACAATTTAGGGATGTGGGCCCTCATCCAGGTACTAGCACATTATATTTACCTTCATGCCGACAGTACACAAATATGCGGCCCTACTGGACTGGGCTTTTTTATTTGTGTACCTATCTTTGTGGTGCGCTCCCAGCACAGAGACTGGGGTCTCACCGAGAGCCCAGAGTCCCGTGGTAATGATTAGGACCTGGAATTCACGATCCTGGGTCACCTGATTGCTGTGATATCAGTCACTGTGAAGCCCACCCCCGTGTTTTCTCTCTCTGATTAGAGGAGATACATTGTATCTCTCTCTGTCCTTTCAGAAAGAGAAAAAAAGGTGTGTAAAAAAATAACATAAAATAATAATAATTATAAAAAAAATGAATAAAAAAACCTACACCAAGGTTTGATTTAGGTCAGTGTCAGGGTCAGTGTTTGAGTCAAGGTCAGCATCAAATGTCAGGGTCAAGGGCAGTATTTTTTTTTGGTCTGGATTTTTTTTTAAATGTTTAAATTAGTATCAATGTATAACGTGCAGAATCTTGTGAGCTGCTATGCTCAATTAGTGATACAAAATAATATTTATAAAATGATAATAGAAAATATTACTAATAAAATTATGAATCGCTCACACCATTCACATTCCCATACAAAATGTTCTATATAACATAAAATATCAATCAAGTGCCGTGCTTCACTTTTGATTTAAACCAAAACAACCAAAATAAACGTCTTTTAATAAGTATCCATGTATTGATATTCTGTATGGTTGTATATCTTCACAGATGCTTGAATGGCAAATAACTTATTGAAACACCTTGTGCGATTATACACTGCAAACCAATGTGTGTATACCTCCACTGGATGTGCTCCACCTGGTGTATATGACCAAACCGCTAAGTGAGGTCATATATAGCATGTGTCCCTTACGTGGACTAATATATGATGTCCGAGATGTCCGATGAGCATGAGTCTCCTCCAATCTTCTAGCTATCCTCCTCTGTCAGATAAATACCAAAAAAGAGATGGCCAAAACATAGTGCTTTATCCTTACAAAACATTTATTGATAAAACAATATCCAGCATTCCACTCACATGTATGATGTATAATATCGCGTCTTAAAAAGTAACTTCAAAAAGGCACTGCTACTGATATGGATCCTCCAACCGCTAATCTGCAGTCAGCTGTACCTATCCTAGGACAGGAGAGTGCGGTACAGCTGGCTGCAGCTGTACCGCGGTTGGAGAGCGATCCATTCTTTCACGAATGTTTGTAGAAGCAGTCTGCAAGCCTAGGTGCTTGATTTTATACACCTGTGGGCATGGAGGTGATTGGAACACCTGAATCCAGTGATTTGGAGGGGTGTCCCAATACTTTTGGCAATACAGTGTATGACGGAATGAGACTTGTGAATACCCTCTGTTCTAAAAGGCTTCACTGTGATTTGAATTTGTTTGGGTGGAGGGCTTTTTGATTGCTTTAGTCCCTTCTTACCTAATCTGTATTATTTCCTTTCATATGTGTGTGTAATGTATATATTCATATTCATATACTTTTATCATTTCTCTGTGTGTTCATTTTATTAGCTCTCCACCTCATCTCAATGTTATGAAAAACAAGCACGCCGTGGATAGGTTACTAAGTGGGTTGTGTCATAAAAAAGTCTGTGTATCAGTTTGGAATGGGTTCCAGTCACCCACGCACAAGGAAACACCTCTACAGACACAACAGCAGTGCTAATACCAGTGTTGAGCTGTAGTCATGTGACCTCATCATATGATTCCCTCACAGTGAGCTCTTGCACATACACAACAGAAACCATTTTTCAGTTGATGAAGAAAGTATCCCTGCTTCCCTTTAGACGTGTCTGTTTCTTGCTTCTTTTGATTGCCTGTGTGTACATTACTAGCTGCCAGTCATTTGTGATGTATTGTATGGGGCGAAAAGCTTGTATTGTTTGGGGTAAAATAGGGAGGAGTAAAAACTCCTATCAGGTTTTTATTGCTAAAAAAGGACACACACACACGTATATGCATACACAGACACACACAAACATGTACACACGCACGCTGTTAAGTGTGCTCTCTCCTCTCCCCTCTCTACTGAAGCCACCACAGCCCTATAAAAAGTTGCAGTACTTCGTTGTTCACTCACAGATCCGGGTATTGCACTCTAGGGGGAGGCAGAGAGCACAGCACACACTCCTTCCTTTTCTTTCACTGAGCTTAGCTATTGAGCAGTCTGACGGCTCCCAGTGCCAATGACAGATCCGGCCTGAGCTCTGAGCCTGCTCAGTAAGAAGGCCCTTGGGGACAACTCACCCCCACCATAATTTTCACTCACCATTGGCGAGCAGGCGAGTGGAAATTTCAGGCCTGATATATACATACACTCAGGGCCGTGAATAAGGGGGGTACCAGCAGTCCTCGTGTATGGGGCCCAGGCCAGTAGGGGAGTCAGGGAGCTGAGTGAATTGGATGTGGGCAGGGACAGTGATTGG